ATATAGTATGCAAGCTGAATTTACTGTTTATAGCTGCTGATTGGCAAATGTTGTTATTTTGCTCGTTTTCATGAGTTTCAAGAACAGTCATGATCATGGTTATTTATTAACTGATTTATTTACACCTTTATACTATACTATTATATTACTAGCTTAATTTGAAACCCCTCCGCCAGGACCTTTTCAAACATGTATGTCTCAAATTTAAATGTTATCTACCCTAATTATCATTTCATTAGTTCGTCATGATTCTTGGGCTTAGACCTTCAAGCTATGTCTTCATCTTAAACGCTTGTTAAGAAATGTGCCATGATTTCATGGGAAATTCTGTTCAAACATATTTGTTTCAATAATTTAATCGTTGTACATAATGTACATAATTCAAGCGTAAAATCACAGAATTCCGTGCGTAAATTTCACATTTTTGATGTGCAAATGTGTAACTACGTTAATATCATTTTACAGTTTAAAGATTTGTATCTGTCGTACATTAATAGAAAGATCAAACGTTTGTATTCCGCAGAATAATTTGCATCACAATATACGTCAAATACATAAGACACATTATGCTAATGTATAAATGTATATCCCTTTAGAAACGGCACACACGAATATGAAGGAGTTCGAATAATGATTTAAGAGTTTGTTAGATGCTTGTGACCGAGCTGAATGAGAAATTATTTGTCACAAAATGTACATAAAGTAGTATTTCGACTTCAAAATACATAATCACTTTTATGTACAAATTGCCAGAAAGCAAAAGAAGTGTAACGTTTCTATGAGTAGATTCCTGTATGTCGGGATACTAAAAATATAACATTATATAGAATTTGCCTTAGTCTACCTGCAAATGATTCCATAAATTATTGGTGATGTTTAGGAAATTTTCAGTGTATAGTTGTAGTTGGTGGTTATTTGTTTTCGACTCAGAGTTTCCAATAGAAACGTTCTTTAAAGGCTGTTCCAGTGGGTTGAGAAAAAACTGGCGTTTAATTTATAGTGTGTAGAAACATTTTTAGAACAACGAATTTTGAAAACGTTGATAAAGCTTTGTTTGTTTATTTCATTTCACTCTAAAAATTTTCATGCGAAATACAAAGTATCAATAGTGAAAAGTTAAATGTGAAATTTTACTCGTTTGCGACATTGAAATGGCGTCCTTGATTTGATTGTTTTAGCATTGTGCTGGTTTGGTGCAACATTGTGACGTCAACACTTTTAACGTCTGTAGAGCGTAAACGACTTAATGAATGATATTGGTGGTTGTATTCATTTTCTTAGTTAGACCATTTTCTGTCATTCTAGATAGTTTTCACAACAATATTCGACAGAAAATGTTTTTATTTCTATTAATTATCAAACATTAATTAATTAAGAATAAATATACAATCAAAATAGATGTACTGATTATAAGTGACAGTGTTTTATACACCTCAATAAGAAACTTAGACTGTTTTTGTAAAAACGCACTTAATTATACAGACTTTAAACAGACTTCATAATATGTGATAACTATTGCAAAAGTTGGCATTAGTATGGTATTTTCACAGTTACAATTTCGAAAATAAGCGCAACAGGTTAAATAATGTATTGTGATGGGTAGTGCACCGTGAAGCTATAACGGTAAAAGTTTGGTACTTACGGATTAACCGGGGGGAAATAGTCACATGTACCGAGTTCCGGAGGACATCTATTGTTCCAGTGACCTTAAACGAATCGTCGAAAACATTAAATTAAGAGAAGTTTTTTTTTATTGTAGATCAACAATTACGCTGTGGACGGCACGTTATAGAATTACTTACTTCTATCGAGAGAAATAGTCAAGTGAAATCAAAACTATTGCAAAATTGAGAACTTTTCGACCCTTTAGATCAAATAATGAATATGAAAACTACATAAATCTGAATCTTACAAAATATGATCGTTTATTCTTTTGCCAGTTTAGAAGCAGTATATTGGCACTTGGAATAGAAAATGGTCGCTTTATAGAAAAAATGGTTGAACAGATGATATGTAGACTTTGGCCCTCAAACAACGAAAAAGACGAAAAACGTGTTTACCTTGCAGACAATTGCAAATTAAAACATTTAATTTGTGTATTTCCTAGCACATGTGCTCAATTTGTTGTAAGTGATTATCTCCACAGACGTTCTGTTATGTACTCTAATTGAACCAAATACTATTCACTTATGAAAGACGAACTAAATTTTATACGGATATGATAAGACTGTTATGTAATCTAGATTTATTCATGTCATGACTGTAAATTGCCATATTCACTTTTTACAATTACTGTGAGAGTTTCATTAACTATTGAAGATACCGTTATCGTAATTTACTCAAGCATATCAAAATACGTGTATTCCATTTGTAATATTAGACATAAATAACACTCATCCTTTATTCAATTTATTCCATTTAAATTTAATTATAAGCTGAGTTTAGTATAACACATGAAAGGTGTGTAATAATTAGCGGAATCCCGAGGCGAAGTCGAGGGTAAGAGTTCTTTTACGAGGGATGATATTTCTACTGTTACCCACAAACCCATGTGTTATTTATTTCATTACCCCGAACAAATACTGTGATGATCTGAACTTGTAAACTAAATCTAACTGTAACAAAAATAAACCAACAGTTACAATAACTTAACTGTCCTGTTTGTCAGTAATATACACATTAACTCAAATTGTATTTGAAAACAATCAATAATAAATATCTAAATACATAATGACGACATTATTATATGATATCTGGTGACTTATAGGCCCATTGGACCTGGTGGGAGCATATTGAATGAGTGTAGGTTCAATACTGAATTTTTAACTAGTTAACGAGTATAAAAAAGAGTTCAGAAGATTTAGTAATGAAGCTACACGATTATAATATTCTATTTAAAACACACAGAAACAATAATGTTTCTTTAATTTATACTCTTGAGGTATAAAGCTGACATTTAGCGCGTCTTTACTATGTCTTGGTAAAGTAAAGTAAAAAAATCATTCTAATTTCAACGTATTTCATTTATAATGCAGAAATGAAGTCAATTATTGTCATTGATGATACATTAAAAAAGGGCAATAAACGATAAAATATGTGTTAAATGTAAATTTACAAAAGCTATCCCTATTCATTTGTAACAATCACTGTTTTCATTAAAACTTCGGATTTCTTTTTGTGGATTGTATTGATTGGCATTACCGAATTTCTTAAATAAGAAAAATGTATTGTAGCTTAATTATATTAAGTTAGGTAAAGATAGAAAAATTCTTTGGCATTATACGAGATGTATTTGAATGCTCTTTACGTAATTTCCTGTCTCATTTAATAGATAAATACAGAATCCCTAAAGAAAGCCCAACACGGCAAAATTTTAAATGTTGCAGGCTCGGTTTGATTGAGCCTGTTCATGGACGGTACTGAAAAGTGCAAGTTACCGTCCACGCCCCCTAGCACCGGCTTAAGCAGAATTCAACATTTAAACGTGAAACAGTAAAATTTTGAATTTAGAAACATCCGCAGATGTGTTCATACATTATCACATTTCATAATAATAATCTCATATAATTTTCATGATATGTTCATGTCTGTAGTATCCATACAATATATGGTGATGTTGATATATGTATCATGTTACATAACCGCTCTGTATCAGCCACTTAAATACCAAGTAGTGTGCAATAGTCGCTCGTAGTGAATAAACGTATAAAACATACGCTGTGTTGCTTTCTGGGCTCTCGACCCGAGAGACATGAAGCCGATATTACAATGGCATGTGTCATTTATGTATTATATGATATATGATGTATTCGTATATGTAATATGGTGATGAGTATTTTGTTCCTAAAATAGAGAAAATAACAATCCCTTAAAGAAAACCCAATACGGCATAATTGAAAATGTTGGTTTCAGGATCGGTTTGATTGAGCCTGTTCATGAAAGGTACTGTTAAGTGCAAACTACCGTTCACGCGCCCTAGCACCGTTTTAAGCAGAACTAAACATTTATTATGAACTGCTAAAATTTTGAATTTTGAAACATCCGCAGATGTATTCATATGGTGGTTATCATGGAACCTTCAATGTGACACGTAAGTGCCATTCCATGAAAAGCTGCATATGGTCCCCAAGTAAAAAATGCGTATGCCCTAAACGAGAAAACAATGGGCGGAACTAAATAAAATGGAATTTTGAAAGGGGATTAGAGGTTATGATGCCTGCATATCACAGATAAGACGTCAAAAGACAAATCTAAAAAGCAGGCCACAAATCCTAAGGGTGATTCAACAGTATTCAAGTGAGGAATACTGGAACCACCCAACAAGAAAAAAGCCAAATAGAAATACCTAAATTACTACAAGCACAACAATAATGTCGTGCTGAACGATCTTTAAGGCTCGGAAATATAACATCTCTGATTGAATGTACGGGGCGACTTTTACAACCTCCACACTGCACAAACAAAGTAAAACCAAGTAATAAAATTTCTGTTGTTCTATGATGTTCTGTATAACGCAAACGACCTCACGTCAAAATTTATGAACTGCCTTGGAACGTTTCAATGAGTTGCAAAATCGCAAAAGGTATGTGATTAATATTATTAACATGAACAAAAGAATATGAATTTCTAAACGATACTTTCAAAAAAGTATGTGTTATTCATAATTTCATTATAATTGTTGTTACATTTTTTTTGCTGTAAAATTTGCTAATTAAATTTATGTTTTTATTAAGAATTATCTGTCATTGCACCAACATTCAGACACACGTACATCCCATTGTTTCCTCCTAAAGTTCCTAAACATGGGATATTAAACATCCAGTTATAATATACGATGTCAAACATTTGGTGGTGAACAGTGTTTCAAAGTAAGGATTAAGTTAAAACTATTGATGGACTTGGGTATCCATCATATAATAGCGCATGATATTCATCCGTTAATATTGTAAAAATAATAGTATTGCAAAAAAGTATACAAAAAGAACAAATGTTTACATGCCATATTTATTTGAAAATACGTGACAATATAGTTGTTTATGTTTACTGATAAACATAGCAAAATAATATCTTTTTGAAGACTTGTAATCAAAATATTCGTCACAGACGATCATCAATGTATGAATATTTGTAACAAAATAGATATATAATGTCATATACAAAAGTTGAATGATTTATTCCTTCATTTATTGATAAGTACTCCACTAAATGTGTTCATCCTTAGTGAGTCTTGTTGTAGCTGGCGGTTAGAAGCTGACGATGTTGATTTGACCCAAACCTTTTCACCTGATCTTACTCTCACTATTGCTCCAACAGTACTACAGGTGTAATAATTCCCATCATAGTTTGAATCTAATGCAATAGCTTCACCTTCTAACACCAGACCAATAAAAGCATATTTATTAGCATAAGCACATGTATGAACAACAAACTGGTAAAGTCCTCCAACGGGTGCCGTGAAAAATCCCGTTGACGTGTCGTAACCTGTTCCCTCGTTAAACAGACTTTTCGTAAATATTATAATCTCATCACTAGTATCAAGAACCAAATCTGCCACGTGATGTGCATGGAAAGCTATCGGAGGTCGTTCAAGTTTTCCTGATATAGAAACAAGTGATGTAAGTACGTGTTTCTTAAAATTGTTTCTGTATGATTTATTTCTTGTTTGTATATTGGGTAATTTTATATAATCATAAGAATTTTAATGCGTATCAATAACCGATGATTGAATTTAAAGAACAGCCAGACTTCCTGAATTTAATTTGGCATTCCATTTATAATATTAGCGTTGGGGAAATATCTTATGGATATATTCAAAAATGTAAAACATAATATTCTAAAGCTATAATAGAAACATGTTTACAAAATGAAGATGATAAATTGTATTCATAATTCGTATATATACATGTTATTGAATAAGTTTAAGGACGATAGTTGGACCAGTTTATATTTACAGCAACATGCTAGTTGAACAAGTTCTCAATATTTCAAACTGACCATTGATGTATTGTAGTACGTGAATGCACTTTAAAACGACCAAATGAACATCTTATAATCAAATAAAATTTTATGAAACACAGTTTTTGAAAATTATCATTACATTGATATAAAGTGAGAAAAATACCTTGAAGTTGAATAAGTTCCTCTTCTCTTTTAGCTTTCATGTCACTTGTGAGGTTTGTTCTTGTCTCCTCAAATAATTTCGTGAACGATTCTGTAACAAAAGTATTAAATTAAATTATTAACCGTTACCAAAGTTTAATAAGTATTATATATGTCATTATGTGTGCATATGAACTGTATGCAGAACGTGTTGCTGATAACACTAAACTTTGTTCGAAACCTTGAACGATTCTGTAAAAAATATATCAATGTTAAAATACTCTGTAACCAAAGTTCAATGTATGTTATTATGTGTACATATGAACCTAGTGCAGAAAGTTTTGCTGATATCACGGAACTTTATTCGAAACCTTATTTTACATAGTCAGTAGAGTTACTTCTAAAATAAAACTTAAGTGAAGAAAAACAACTTGCGTTCTAATTCAATTTTCACCGCTCTCCTCCTATAATTGAGTTTAAATTGAAATTTTTAGAATTTTTATTGGCTGACGTGGTAGTCATTTTCTGACGTAATTCAATATAAAATGAATGTAGTAAAATCAGAGAATCAGTTGACTACAAAAATGATATGATGAGTCAGCGTATACCGAAAACCATAAATATTGCAAATCTTCATAAAAATTTAAGATACAGCAGTGTTTTTGATGCAACAAATAGAAACAGCTCGAGATTGATTATCAATCAATTTAATGAAAATTTACATGTAAACACTTTATTTTTTATTGTTTTTTTATACATGATTTTCTTTTTCACTTTCCTTTATTTTGTATTGATTTATGTTTATAATAATGTAATTTAACGTCTCGTTTCGAAACGAGACGGGCTAAGCGAACTGAAAATATATTATACGTTTGCGGCAATGAAAGGTATGCCATATTCTACGATAAATACAAATAGAAATGTTAGATAAATATGTCAGCATAGCAACCGATGTATGGAGTGTTTTTATCTTTTTTTTAAGCATTTATCATAAAACAGATTATCTCATTTCAATTTTAATAAAGCTATACGAACTATTAATTAATTTTGATTAAGACTTAAACAACAATCAGTTGTAAATTATATGCTAAAGTTATAAGTCATTTTTCGCATTCTATCAGTAATTTTTCAGGATACAAATATCATTTTCTAACCATGTAGATTTGATGTTTATATTTTACCTTCTCTCCTTTTTATCTCGTCACTTCTCCTTAACATTTCGTCTGTTATGTTCCCCATCATGTCTGCAAACATGTCCGTAACAGTTTGTTTAATGTCACCTAATGTGCTGATGACATTATCCTCAGTTTTCTTAATTTCATTCACCATTGTTTCTACCTTAATTTCAGTTCTTATCATTTTTTCTAAAAGCTGTTCTTCATATGCAAATTTAGAACATAAAGGTTCTTTAGCCTCCAAGACATGAAAGCTATACATTCCAAAGATAACTAAAAACGCAACTAAAGTTATGAAAGTCATTTTAAATAAGTTACTACGAAATGTTTAAAAACACACTCTGAATCTCAAAACGTTATTAAAACTGTTGTGTTTTATAAAATGGAAATATGCCGACTTTTTTAAAAAGAGGCCCGTACGAAAACATTTGATTAAGGTTCTTTAGCACGTTTAGGGAACGTTTAGCATACTTCAAAACAATAGCCTAATATGTTTGTGTCGGCAACATAGAAAAATTTAGTTATGTAAGAAATATTATTAAATAAATGATAGGATACTTAGCATAATATCTTAATAATCATTATATAATAATACTCGTGCTGTTTATCTCCGCATTAACGGTATTGCACGGTCGTGCATATTTTGATGTGATGTCATTTGCGCTATACAAATATAGAGTAAAGACGCGCTAAATGATAGCGTAATACTATAAACGTGTCAATGAAATTTGCACCTTTTTAATATTTTTGGCATCATGTAAAGTGAATATTATATGCGTATATATTACCTTCATTACAATATTTATTGAACTCGTTGAATAAAATAAAGTTATCATTTTATTCAATTCGTTTAATGAATTCAGTATTGGAACTGTGTTGCTAGACTTTGTTCGGGGATGCGTCCAAAACCGCCTTTCCTTGTTAATCTTGTTCATCATCTGTTGACTTACATTCAATATCCTCTATTTAATGTACGAAACATATATTCATTGCATAAAACTTGTTATTGATGATTAATTAACTCATATTCATGAAGGTCACAGCCTTCGCTATAAAAGTACGTATATAAAGAAAATACATTTTATGTGTCCATTATCAAAATAAATGATTTTATATTCGTACATACGTTCTTTCATTTTTATTTCAGTATCGTCGATATTTCATGACAACCCTTTTTAAACAAAAGGTTAAGACTCGATGAATTCCAGCTAACCGGAAATTGTGAGCTGTAATGCGCTTTAGAGTGGATGTTTGTGTTTTTAGACTTTTATAATATAAAAACTATTCATATTGCATTTGTATTTAATGCTTATAATGCCAACTCATCACGTGGTCAAAATTCGATTATGCAAAGACGGTACAATAAGAGAGAATAGGTTCACATGTCTGAAAATGTGATGTCTACATTTAATTTCAACTGCTAACAATTTCTTATATTTGAAATTAGTTATCATTTGGCAAAAAAAAACGACTTTTACGCATGCGTTAACACTGTTGAATGTTGTTGTTATATAGTATCCATAGCTTTGTTACTATCTCTGAATTCTATTTCCCTACCCCTGATCATTTGTTAAAATCTTTAATAAGTTCATCGGGATTTACTTGAATTTCAATAATCTCAAACATATTACTTTGATTTTAATAATTAACATGTTATTTGTAAATACTATTTAGTAATGTAATGATATTTTTTATAAGTAAAGCAACACTCTTCCCGGTCCTTCTTTCAAATAGAAAACGTAATTATATAATTGTTTATAACATTTTATCTTAATTATCTAAATCATTATATTGTTTGATTATAAGAAATTTTTCTGAGTGGTCCTCGCATTAAATAAATGATAAGTTTCCTCATATTTAACGAGACACTCTGATAAAGACATTAAGGATACAATGGGTGCCGTTATACAACAATGATAAAACCGGTAACAATAAGATATATCAATAAAAAACAACATTATAGCGGACGCTATTACTTAATATATATACAGTGCCTCAGACTGGAAATGTGTGTGTTTTTATTTATTTCGTGCACAGGAGACACTATGTCGTGTGCTTGAGTAACTTAGTCGTTACACGAGATTATTAAGTCGTTGGCACGAGTTACTAAGTCGTGCGCACGAGTTACTAAGTCCTGAGCATTATTTAATAACCAAGTCTCGGGCATAATCTTGGGGGAATCTTATGTCCGGAAATCTTATAAAAATAGTTCTGTAAGATCTTGCGAGAATACTGTTCAGTTTATCCGCTGTCTATCAAAACAATCTTTGGTGAGCGCAGGGCACTAGATGAAACTGCATCTCGTAAGAATCTCCGTATCGTATACATATTTCTCTCCCTTGGAATTACAGGTGTCTACAATGGATGATAATCACATGCTATCTCCCTAAGTTTGGACGACATACTACTATTAAGATATATATTATGGAGAAATATTATCAAATCGTGCGTACGATATATTTTGTCTTGCGCATGAGTTATGTAGGAGTGCACATGAGATAATAAATAAGATAGGCAAGAGATACGGTGTCGTGCACATAAATTACTCAGTCGTTTGCACGAGTTACTAAGTTCTCCATTCAAATTACTTAGTCGTGCGCACGATTCTAAGAAGTACACACAAGTTAAGAGGTACGCACGAGTTACCAAGTCTTGAGCACTAGTTACTATGTGACATCAAAATTAATAAGGCATTTTCGACTGGCCACTTCGGGACTAACAGCAATGGCTCTATCAAGTAATAAAACGCAGGGCTTATTACTTTGCAAGTTATTGATTGGACAAAGATTTTAAGTGAATTGAAGTAAAATTAATATCATTAATTCGTTACATAAGATACTTTAGAGATATATGGACAAGTACAGCCAGAATAAGATCTATATGAAAATCTGGAAACAAAGTGATCCCTCGGAAGCATTAATCACTACAAAATGACACGAGAATTGCAGACTCGGTTTGATTGAGTCTGTACATGAGGGGTAATGAATAAATGAAACATCCCTTACGCACCCTAACACCGGCTTGAGCGGTACTCAATTCTCAACATTTAATAGTGCTGGCATCAATGATGCCGAAGGACCAGAACAATATAACAAAACTGAAGCGAGCCGATTCGCTACTTCATAATGTAGCTGATATGTATCTAAATCTGGAAAAAGGCAGATTTCTCGAGAGCAATAAAAACAAAGCAAATAGCTGACAGTTGCAGACTCGGTTTTATGTTATGAGATATATGTCATGTACACTTAGCAAAAGTGCTAAGTACTCCGATGATTTTCTTTTTTCAAAAAATGTTTTATCAATTCTAAATTTTTACAATTATAAAATTTCATGTTTGCTTCATGATGTTTGCACGATAATGTGAACTTTATTCACAAAAATAATGACATATTCAAAGGAAAGATTGACAACTGAAATTCGCAAAATGTTTGAGATCTTTGTTTTAAGCGTATGCATATATGCATGACTCACAGTCCGATACGTCAAGGTTCTAGTTCTGATTTATAACAAAGCAAGACGACAACCAATACCAGTACCACCATGTTATTTACTGAGACTTGTTAAGGTTGTCAGGTAATACACATCATGGAAACAATTAAATATGTTATTTGTGATCCATTAGTTTCAATCAAATATTTACAATGTTGCACGTGCAAATGCACGTACTTTGAAATCCTTTAAAAGGTGTTCAGTAATGTTTTTACTTTTAAGGAGTAGAACAGAATAGAAGTTTATCTTAGACTATAAGATATACAATGTTCATGTTGAGTAAAATAATTCTATTGCAGAAATATAAATCAAGATTATTCTTATTGACACTAACTTAACATGGTAAAGTGCATTCCCTATGGTGGTCCTTTTGTTAAGAATGTCAGTTTTTTTTATAATAACACTTTACATTAATGTTTGTCATAGATTTAATTTCACTTGCGTATATTATTTGTTTTAATAAACACAGAAACTTCAATTGCTTTAAATTACATTTCAACAAAACATACATAAACATAAGATTCCCTTCTTTGCTGTTATGAATTCAGTCTTTTTCTGCTATAAGATACTAACATAAACTAATAATGGAAATATGCAAAATAAAACATGGTATGAATAATATTCGTCACAACATATATAGACACATCATAGATAAATTAACAATTTTCGACTTATTTCACAAAACACTACTGTTATTAAGAGTCTCAAGAAATGTATTGGAGCAGTTTTCATCAAAACGTTTACGTTTTACGTCAGCTTATAACACTGAAATCAGATTTTACTCCCATCAATGTTTAATGATTTTTTTATAATTCAGTAACTGACAAGTACTCCACTAAATGTGTTCATCCTATAAAAGTCGTGATATAGCTGGCGGTTAGAAGCTGACGATGTGGATTTGACCCAAACTTTTTCTCCTGATCTAACTCTTATTATTGCTCCAAATGTATTGCAGCCATAAGACTTATCACCATAGTTAGAATCTGATGCAATAACGTTATCTTCCAACACCAGGCCAAGATATGCAAAATTATCTTGACGAGCACGTGTATGAACAGAAAACTGGTACAGTACATGTGCCGTGAACAAGCCCGTTGACGTGTCGTCGTTTGTGAATGTCTTCTCGAATTTGAGTACCTCATTCGATGTATCAAGAAGCATGCCTTTTAAGAGATGTGCGTAGAAAGCGATCGGAGGTTGTTCGATTTTTCCTGAGTATAGAAATAATACTTTTTATTTTATATCTAAGATATTTAAACCAAGGGGCCTATGCAAGTAACAAAACCTTATATTAATATCAGACTTATATATATAATTTAAATAATTCAAATAAAAAATCTAGAATGTGTGAATGTAAACAAAATTATCTGGACGTCTTACGAGAGTTAGAAAAGTACATATGGAGCAACATTGTTTGTAATATATTATTGACCACGGGATATACCAATATAAAACATGAGTCAGGTTAGCAACAATTTAATTTTGCTATGATTAGTTGTAGATAAATAGAAATCAAGCACAATTGATGAAAAAAACAGGTAGCAATACCCTGGAGTAGAAAAAGTTTCTCTTTTTCAGCCTCGATGTCACTTGTCAGGTTTTTCCTTGTTTCCTCAAATGATGTTTTGAACGTTTCTGTAATAAAGTATGAACATTCTATTAACTAATATGTAACCAAAGTTAAGGGGTATTCTGTACGCACAGCATCCTTTCTCTATAGCTGTTATAATTTCTCGTTCCCCTGTAAAGCATGTAGCGTTGATAATCTAAATGTAATTCATTCTCAAAACAATTAATGGAATTTTTAGGCGTATGTGTCATTTGTTTAAAGAAACTGATATATTTAATCTGATTTT